CGCCGCCGCCGCCGCCGCCGCCGCCGCCGCCGCACAAACTGAGGCGCCTGACTAGCTGTCTCCCTCCAGTACAGCCGCCACCTCTTGCCTCGCTCCGCCGTCTAACTGCGCCTACAGCTACCCCGCCGTACGCTCCTTGCCCCCTCCCTCGGCTCGCAACTCTTTGGGGAAAGTCTCTTCCCGCCCCTCCTCCTTCCGAACGCCGCGTCCTTCTCGTCTTCCCTTCCCCTCCTGCCCTGTCCTCTACTGAGGGTCCTGAGAGGTCCCCTTGTTCCACCTGCCCCACTCCTTGCTCCCCGATCTCCCTCCCTTCCTCGCCAGCGAAGCCTGCGGAACCTAACCCCGGCTGGAGCAACAGCCCCCAAGGCTCCCGTCTGCAAGTTGCTCCTGCCTGCCCTGCTGCAATTCGAGGGGCGCCGTATTGTTCTTGGCTCAGCCGCCGCTTCAGCAGCCGGCTGCGGCACACCTTGGCCTGACAGGTGCCTATTCGCGAGAGAGAGCCCGGAGTAACTGGGCTGCGTGACTCTTTCTCTCTCCCTCTGTTTCTCGCTGCTCTGCACCCATTGGATGGCGGCGAGGCTGGGGCTGACTGGGGAGAGGCGCATGCGTCCTGCGAGAGCGCGTGTGGGGCGGCGCGAGCGGCTGAGCGCGAAGCAGAAGCTTGGAGGTGGCGAACGGCGTCGGAGTAGGTGATTCTATTGCCCCTGCCCCGCGTGTATTCACGTGGGTGGGTGCGCGGGCGCGCGCTCACGTATGAAAAGACGAGCGTTCACATCATGCTGAGAAGGACGGCGAGACATTCCAGAAACGAGTTTCATCAGAAATATATCGGCGGGAGGTGTGAAAACGATGGAAGAAGACACAGTGTAGAAAAGTGTGTGAGAGATTGTATGGTGGCGTGCAAGCGGGGGAGAAAGGATTGAGGAGCGGGCAAGAGAGTTGTGCTGGGGAGCCAAAGCGAAATGTAAGTGAGAAAGAGCGCGGGGAAAGTCGCGCCTTGGCCCTCTTTTCGGACTCGCTTCGTTAGGGAGGTGTCCGGTGGATCCCTGGAGACGGAGGGCTGGGTCTGCTTAGGACCCACAGTTTTGATCGTATCTCTGAGGTGTAAATTGAACTTTCCTGGGAGAAGGGCTTCTTGCTGAAAAGTCAGAACAATCATTATGCTGCTTTGGTGCAGATGACTTCTGAATTGGCTCCCTCCCGTCCCCTCCCCTCCCCTCCCCTCGCCCCCCGAATGAACTTCGGAGAGTTGTATCTGTGAGGACAGCCTTCCACAACCCTCCACCCCAGCATGGAGGCCAGCTCCCGTGGCCTCCAACCCGGACAGCCTAAGCTTTCGGAGGGGATGGGCATTATAGTCAAATACTTATGGAAGCCCCCAGCTTGGGGAAGGGCGGTGCGGAGCAAGGGTGGCTGTACTGGAAGAAGCCTTCGCCCACCGGCTGGAGTGAAATGAAGGGAAGGAGTGTGGATAAATTGTGAAAGCCTTTCGCTTCGAATTATTATCATTCATTAGCCACCACAGTGAAATTAGGGAGGGGGGCGCGGGGCAGAGATGCCCTAAGAGACCCCATTGCGCAGGTGCAATGGGGAGGACTCCTCGCCCCTCACACACGCACACACATGGCGCCGTTCGGGTGAGCGGCTGGCACAAGCCCGAGCAGTTGCTGCGGCGCCCGGTTTTATTCTGCCGCGCGGGCTCCTGGGAGTTTGCT